GCCCGCGCCGCGCCCCTCAGCTCCGGGGTGCCCGGGGGCAGGGACGATGCCCAGCACGCTGAGCGGAGGAGCGGGGCCGGGCAGCCCTGTTCCCACAGCCACGGGCCCAGTGCTCCCAGTGCTCCCAGTGCTCCCAGTGCTCCCAGTGCTCCCAGGCAGGGCATCGGCATCGCTCCAGGGCTGTGGCTGGAGCCTGAAGAGCAGCAGCCATGCTGGGGTCTGGCATTGCCTGGAGGTCACTCCAGCCTCTCCCTGGAGGGTGCCTTCCTGAGTTCAGGGGTGGGTTTAAATTCCCCTCCAAGCCAGGGTGGCCATTGCTGACGTTACTCCTCCTGCCTTTCTGTGCCTTTAGTCTCTCACTCTTTTTTTTAAAGTGTTTTACAGACCAGCTATGGTTTTAAAGGTCTTTTTAAGTCTCTTGGTTTCTTTCTATTTTTGAGGCAGTAGTGAAATATCAAGCACCCTCCTCTACAGTGTTGGCTAACTTCTGAAATTAATTATGCTTTAAAGAGAAGAAATTGATGTGATTTGATTCTGATTCTTTGGTGGTGTTTCCTTGCACTACGTTTCAGAGGTTAATAAAACTTGACTACAATAATGTGAATAACTTAAGAATAAGAAAGATAATTTAGCTATGAAAAATGCTGGTCAGGGAGGGCACTTTGCAGCTTCTGACTAGGTTTAGGTTTTGTTTGTTCTTTTCTCTGTCCTGAAGGGGTGTCCAGTTCAGCCCCGAGGGCTCTGTGGAGCTGTTCCTGCAGAGACAAGGCAGGAGCTGCGATGGGTGAGGGGTGGAACAGGGAGGATACTTCGGGGAATAGTGATTGTGCTGTGGGGCTTTAATGCAAGATACACCTGCTCTGTTGTGCCTAATACGTGCTTCGTTTTAGGGTGTCTGAGCCAACATTTGGTACAGTCTCTAAAGCTGTAAAATTAATATAATTTTCTAATTGTGACTTCAGCTATCAATATGGAGAGGGGGATTTTGCCATGATGTAAACCTAGGCAAGCTGAAATGTCAAAGTCTTGACACGGATGCGAGACTGAAACAACCTGCTCGTGAGGTGAAGCAGTGGTGGCTTAGGAGGCTTTTTGTCTTTGGTTCTTTGTTCTCACTCCCATTGGCCTGAGAGTTGCATCTCTGCCTGGAAGGTAGAAAGCCTCTGCCTGGTCTCACCTTGAAGAAGGTCATAGTAGCTCCATCCTTCACTGCCCCATACTCTATTTTTGTCTGCTTTGCCAAGTCATCTGCCGAGTCGATGGGGGATTCCATCCTCTCCACTGTCAGGAAGGCAGCAAGGTTGGCCGTGTAGGACGAGATGATAATTAGGGTGAAGAACCACCATATGCCACCAATGATCCGTGTAGAGAGTGCTTTGGGCATCAGCTCAGAGCCTGGGGTGGGAGAGGGAGAAGGAGAAGAGGGGAAAAGAGAGGGAGAGAAAAAGGATCTGTTATATATCTACATACATACATTATATACATATCTGTATATATATATATAAAGGATTAGGTTTCACTGTCTAAACAGCTATGCAATTAAAGCCAACTGGTTTTGAGACAGATTATCCAGACATCTTGCATCCAAGTGGGGTTTTTGTAGCATTTGCAAAAAAACCCTCTCCCTTTATTGCTGACCTTGGGTACTAGGCACGATTTACAGGAAACATTCAAACTGAAGTAATTAACTAGGCTGCTTTTATGAGATTTAAATAGCAAGCTATTTATGAACTTTTATGAGTGTTTTGTTCTGATGTTTAAAAAGGGCTTTGCTTTTATATGGCTTACTTTTCAAAGGACTAACTCTAGGGAGTGTGTTCAAATACACAAGGCTTAAAAAAAAATCAAGCAGCAAGAGAAGGGAACTATGAGGGTCCAGTACTTTGAATACCAGTTAGAAATAGGGAAGCAGGAGATGCTACAGCACGAAAGGTATAACAGGTCTGGAATGGCTTTTATTGAGCAGACATGAAGGACTAAATAGGTTGTACTATTTTTGTAATAACCCAAGATACCTTCTAGAGCCAGGAAAGAGCCTTGGGTTTGAAACAACTTTGTTCAGATATATCCAACCTGGAAAAAAAGATTGGGTTTTGCAAAACAATTTTAAGTGGTGTGGTATCAAAGTGTAGGATGGAATGTGGCTCTTCTGTCTGAGTGCAGCAAGGTGGCTCTGGGAGGCAGAGGAGCCTTGGATACTGAGGGCTCCTTCAGTCCTCCAGATTCCGCTGCTTCCCCATTCTGTCTCTTGCCCTTTGATGCACCGGATGGTGTGACATCAGTCTAGCTTTGAAATATTTTTCTTCTTAGATGTAGAACAGGGTTAAAAAGAATACATATCTTTTCATTCATCAGCATCTGATAAGAGGATGATTCATCCTGCTAAACCAGCTTGCTGGAAACCATCACTGTCCATCAGGGCAGCCGGGATCAGGGAGGAATCTGCAGCAGGAGGAGCAGGGAGCTGTGCCACTGTGCACACCACCAAGCCAGTGCTGGGCTTCTTCTGCTCTCTGGGTATAACTACTGATACACGGTAAATTAAAGTGTGACAAATGTTTGACATTTTCCACTTATTTCTATTCCTGGATTTTCTGCAGTTAGATCACAGCTGAATTTTGTTCCTTATTCAGAGCTGCTCAAAAGCTCCCCCTCTGCTGTCTTCCTAACTGATGTACTCTATTCATTGTGTGTCTATATATTCCATTTGCTCTATTCCATCCACACATATGAACGTAATCCCATCCATATCCCATTTCTAAGGTCCCTGTCATTGTGGTATTTTACAGCAGTAACACTGACAATGTTCTGTCTTGCAGGACAGGACAGGTCCTTGCCACCCCGTCGCCCCAGCAGCCTCTGCCCAGTGCTAGAGGGAGTTTCAGGGTATTTCACAACGTGTAGAATGACCAGATGAGGATGAAAATTGAGAGAGACTGGAGGGCAAGATGCCTTGTCTTCTGTAAAAGTCAATTTAAAACAGAGCGAGCCAGGACAGAGATCCTGAAATTAAAACACATTGCTTGAATTAACAAGAGTAAGAAGTTACAAGATCTGTGTGCTGCTGCTGAGTTTGGTGAAGAGCTGAGGGAGGCAGAGGCCGTGCTCCTCCTCGGGCTCAGTGGGTGGGTGCTGCTCTGGGTGCCCAGCAGCAGCACGTGTGTGAACTGCCCACCGGTGCCCTGGCACCTCCTGGGTGCTTCCCGGAGGCAGGGTCGGGCACGGCCCTTCCCCACACCGGGGCCCGGGCCGAGCTCCTGGGACGGGGCTTTGACTCGCAGCAGGGGGGAAGTGCAGACAGAGACAAGTGACAAAACAGCCCAACCGACTGAAGAGCTCCAGCCTGCTCTGACACAGGAGAATCTGGGTGGCTTTCTTGGCATAAAGACCTTTCCCTGGGGTGCCCCAGGCAGGGGGCACACGTCCCCCTGTGCGGGCAGTCTGGCAGAACCGGCCCCGCTCAGCGGGTGTCTGTGGAGGTGAAGTTCGAAGTGAGTGAGCAGCACTGGGGTCCCAGCCCGTTCCCCAGTGGGATTGTCATCTCATGGGCCCCAGCCAGAGGCTGCACGTGCAGGTCCCTGGGGGGCAGGACCCTCGGGCACTGCGGTGCCGGTGCCGTGCCGGACACGTCTCCATCCCGTCCCCGTCGGCAGCGGAGGGCACCGGGAGGGTCTTGGCACAGCAGGTCCTGGGAGGAGCTGCAGGGAGGAGAGCTGCCTTCCCTCCCCTGCACCTCATTACTGATGAGTGCTTCTGCTCAGATGTTTTATCTTTCTCCTTTTTTAATTTTTTAAAAATAAATTTTAAATTTAAAAAGCCGTGACTAAAGCTGGAGAATGGGCGGGAGGGTGTGTGCATGGGGAGGTGCCCCCTACCTTGCTGCATCAGTGCTCCCATCCCAAACCAGAAGCTGTTCAGAAGGGTGAAGTTGTTCTCCACGATGTCTGATCCTGGGTTGCAGGGATGAGCATCGTACCACTCATATGGGCTGAACCTGCAGCAGCACATGGAAAGTGAGAGCTTGTTATTCGGGATGTGCATGAAAAGACCCTAGAGGAACAGGAGAAAAATAACTTTAATTCTCTTGTTGTGAGGCACAGGGCCTGCTGACCCCACCCCTTTGGTTGTGTAGCTTATTAAAGAAAAATGACATTTACCCAAGATTTTCTGAAGTGACCAGCATGACTGTAACCCCATGTCCTGCATTGCAGAGAGCAAGGAAACCTGGGAAGCCAGGTCCTTCTGAGGTATCTTAGTTGCTTCCCTAAAGCTTTTAGTCATTTCAGATCATCTCTGCAATACTACATCACACAACAGCAACCGGAGCACACAGCTGTGGGCTGGGATGCGGTGCAGACACAACCTCCAGTATGTAACTCTTCCAAAACATGGGGAAAATGGCATTCTGGATGGACTGAGGAGTCAGCCACAGTGATTCCGCAGCAGTAGCTGGGACAAGCCACAGTATTTTGGGGGATTCTTCCACTAGTGCCCATGGGAATCAGGGCAGGATTTAGCCAAATGAGAAGCAGAACTTCCCACCATCCTACCAAGCAGGAGTCCTGCATGTTTAGGGCACCAGCACAGCAGTGGACGTTGGTGTAGGTTTGCTGTGCACTGCTGTGATGCTCAGTCCTGTTGCTGGTGGTGGAAGGACACTTGTTCCCTGTGGGGCGTATTTCCATGGACAGCCCTGTAGATCTTGGGCAAAGCTGAGGGAATTCACAGTGATGATCTCTGCAAATCCTGCCTAGGATTGGCAGGCAAATGCTGCTGTGAATAAAGCTCTTTTAGCCATGATCTGAGGAGGATGCTTAAGAGGAGAGACATTAATATTTTTAGAGCTGTTTATTTACATTTTCTAAGAGTCCCAAATTTTGCAGAGATTAAATTAAAAACATAATTGGTATAATTGCTTTTGAACCAGGCATTAATTATACATCTCCCTGTAGCTTCACAACAGCCCTTTCTCAAAGCCCAGCCCACAATTTGTATTAGGAAATACTTCCCTCTGTAATTCACTCCCAGACGCGCTGCTACCAAAGGAGGTTCTTGTTGCTTTGTTCCACGGGTACCCTGAGTCGGGCAGCTGGGTGTGTTTGGAGAAGAGCCACAGCTCTCTTCCAGGTGCCCCTCCTGGCACAAACCTCCCCCAGCCCCTGCTCTGCAATCGTGTCCTGGGACCCCCCCAGAGCCTGACACGGGGGGATGCTGGGCAGCACGGAGCTGCGCTCCCCGGGCAAGGCGCAGGAGGGTGTCCGTGGGCCAGAGTCTATCACAGGGATGGGCCGGGGGCAACGCACAGGACCTCTCGTGGTTTTGGACAAGTCCATCTGCGTGCATCCTCACGCTTTTTGCTTCTATTTTCCACATGCAAGACGCAGTTTGATGCCCTCTGCGTTCCCCTCCTGGTATCTCGCCTTTCCGCAGCGGGGCCCGGTGCCCGCTCTGGGTTTGCAGGGTGCAGAGCCGGGGCCCTCGCTCAGGCTCACCCCGACAGCCCTGCTGGTTCACCCCGCTACCCGCTGGGCCCCCCACTGCCACCTCCCGCTGCCTTTTGACATAAGAGAAAATCCAAAAGGAAAACAGGAATCGGGCTGAATTCAGACCTGGCTTTATGTGCTGCCTACTGCTTGAAATGCTCTGAATTCATGCCAGAGGTGTATAAAGGCTGGTGCCTAAGCCCTTTCTGTCAAATAAAGCCAGAGTTCAAGAATTAAATGAAAACTTGCTTGGGCCGCCAATGAAAGAATATGAAACAGAAAGGGAATTGGTTAAGATCAAATGAGCCTGACAAGATGACACGTTGAAGAACTTCAAGGTCTCTGAGTAAAAAACCTACTGGCGCTGCTCACATTACAGAGAGATGTTCAGGAAACTGCGAAGCAGCAACGGAGTCTTCAGTGCTTGACGAGGGAGTGGGAGCGTTAGTGAAACTGCGGGGGGATGAAGGAAGGAGCCAGTGGAGCTCGTTGGCCCCTTAAGGCTGGAGCAGTGGGGGCTGCTCAGGATCCACCATGGGCTGGATTCCCTCGGCCTCAGGTGCCAAACGGCATCTGAGAAATATTCCATCAAAAACGATAATTATTTTCTCACCTTTTCTTGGCCTTTTTGGCAGGGAAACAGGGGAGCATTTCCAAGAAGGTTTAAAGATTGAACACAAAATACTTCTGAGTCTAAATTGCATCTCCAGAGAAATTCCTTATGGATGACCCAGTCCTTGTTGCAGTTAAGATGACTATTAAACCCAGCTGCCCGGTTGTGCACCCAGAGGTGATTCGCTGTCATTTGAAGGTCGTGTGCATCTGAGGACAGGTGACAATTCAAGTCAGCTGCAGAGCCCCCTGGCAACCTCGCACCAGAATCACCAGACCAAGTACCCCCACGAAGAAGCCGTATAAATTGGTGGTGGTTATGGCTCTTTGGAGGCTGGAGTGGTTTAGGAGCATCAATAATGGGTGGTTTGGTTCTATCAGTAATGAAGAAATGCTGATTAGAAGGCAAGATGGATCAAGTACATCCTTTGCCTGCCTCTAAATAGTCCCTAGGTTGGTTTTAAGTGGCATTGACCGATGATTATCATATCAGCAGAGGACTCTGGTGCCTAGTTCAGGAGTCTCATGTCTCTAAATTAAGGCTTTGGTGTTTCAATTGTGTTTTTTCCTGAGAATTTAATTTTAGAGGCCTTACTGGGGTCAAAAGCAGATAGCATTTCCATTACTTCTGAAAGCAGTAAATGTTTTCCTCATGAAATCTCTTGCTTTCCATCTCTATGTGTTAAAAGATAATTTCTGTAGAACCTTAATTGCACCAAATATTGGTGTTCTTTGAAACAGTAGGAAAGCAGAAGAAATGTCAGGAGCAAAGTAGGTGAAAAAGAAACTGTAATTGCAATATTTTATAGGTTTGATTTCAGCCAAAAAACATTCTGATAGGGAAAAACTGCTGTATTATATCATAACTGCCGTGATGTGGAAGATTATGAGGCTCATTTCAAAACAAAACCAGAGACTAAACCACAGTACTTCAAGTCTTCATCCCTCAAATCTTGCTGGTACAGAGTGGTGTCTAAAGTGTTCTCACACTGGGTCCTGTCCTCGCGTTTCCTTCAACCTTTTCTCAGTCTCTGCTGCACTGAGTTTCATGTGCAGATACAATTTGTGCGGTTAACACACTCTGAAAGTGGGATCTGGACAATTTGGGCTGGATTGGGCCATCCTATGAGTTGGGAAAAATAAGGTCATAAACAAAAAATGGTATTTGAATTGTCATTCCAAGCCGCACGAAGGGGCTAACGCTTTATGGCACTAAAGCCAGAGCCCTGAGGGCAGCAGAGTCTCCTTCCTTTTCGGAATTGCCCTGGGCTCATTTGCTCAAATGAGG